AAAAAAAAAAAAAGAAAAAGAAAAACGAAATGTACTGCAGAAGGGCCTGGCACAGCAAAGCTACCAGGAAGCTGAGAGAAAAGAGGGGGCTGGGGACAAGACCGTACCCTTCCAGGTCACACCCTACTGCCCAGCTCCGACCGGGACTCACCCCCTAACAGCACATTCAGTTCCTAAGACGGCCTGATGAGCCCAGCATCCCCTCGTCCCCTTGATCAAATCACCTTCCACACTTGTGAGACTTTGGGGGTTCATTTTAGATCTAAACCATAACATCCTGCCCCCGCACCCCCACCCCAAGGCTCTTGTCCATCTCACTCTGCAAAATGCATCAGTCCATCGACAAGAGCAGCAAACTCTCAAACGCTTCCAGAACTGCTGAAGAGTCCAAGCCCGAACGAAGTCTCCTCCGAGACTCAACGCAAGCTCTTCACTCTGAGCCCGTGTAAAAATCAAAAAGAAAGTCAAACGTCACCGAAATACAATGGCACAGGGTAAATATTCCCATTCCACAAGCGGGGAATAGGGCTGGGGATTTGGCTCAGAGGTTCCGCTGCCTGCCTTGAACCTCAAGGTCACAAGTTTGATCCCCAGCACCACCCCCACAAAAAAAAAAAACTGAGCTCCAAAGATCTCGGGCATCTTGCCTCTCTGGCATTGCCAGTTGCAGTCCACATAGTGTCTGTCCTGTGGTGGCTTTTCAAACTGCCTGAAGCTTTCCTCATCAGTGATGCATGTTTCTGCCTTCTCCAAACTTCTGGGGTCTTCACTGAGCTTTTGGCTTCACACTCACACCTTCACACACTGCCCTCTCCAGGACACACTGCCTGGCCCTCCAGGCCTTCCGAAATATGGAATGAAGCCTCTCTGACCCCACAACCCCTGTATTCCACCTGTGCCTAAAACCAGCGCCATGTGAATGATGCCACCAGCTGGAGCAGTAGCTGGGCCCCCTTCAATTGTGGCTGCAGAGGCCTCTGAGTACCTACATTACTGAGCTCAGGGAAACATTTCCTTCTGTGGCCCTGAAAGGACAGGATGCCCTAGGGATGTATTCCCAAAGCAAAGCCTTTTAAATGTGTTTACCCTTTTACACCCTTGAACCTGTGAAGGGTGGGATCTGGCCAATTCCTAAAATATCTTCAAGTCATCTTTCCTATTCTCCTGATGCAAAGTACTTGGATTCTTTTTTTTTTTTTTTTTTTTTTTTTTTTTTTTTTGTTTGTGCTGGGATCCAACTCTGGTCCTTGTGAGGCAGGTGGCAAAACCACTGAGCTAAATCCCCAGCCCCTTGGATTCTTTTTTAATGCCATTCTTTTCAGTTATCAAGTTCTCTTCATGCAAGACTTCATAGGTGACTCCTTTCTGGCAACAGCAAAAATTTTCATACTTTTCAGCTCTGCTCTTCTACTCTTGATTCACACTGTAAATCTGGAAGAAAGCCACCAGGAGGACCCATGCCACAGCCTGAATGCTGGGCTGCTTTGAAATTTTCTCCACCAAACTTAATCTCAAACTCCTGCAAAGTCTCAGGACATGGACAAAATGAAAAGAAATTTTCTGCCAGAGTGTAACACA